GCTAAACTGGTGACATCAGCTTAATCTAATCAAGTAAGTGGTCTTACTATAAGATAGGTTAGAAATGGCATGAGTTACAATTTATGATGTATGAGCTATGATGATACATGAGTTATGATGATGTATGATTTGTATCGTATGATGCCATATACTAGTATATGATTATATATGAGTATATGATTATGTATGAGTTATGATACTTGATGATGTGCATAATATATATAGTTTGGTGTATGACGTACTTGATATGCTCGATGCACTTTAGAGCAATATGATAAGTATGATGATTGCATGACGTTTGTCTTAATATGTTGATGTTTTCCATATTAAGCATGTTATATGATGATGAGTGTCATATTGCATCATGTTAATAGATTGACATAGGACACAACCCTAAGAGCATGAAAATGAAATTGATATAAATATCCAACGAGCATGTGTTACTTAATGTAATAAAGAGATGAGACTAGAGGGTTGTGCCATAAGAGATGATAAGATGGAAATTAGAGGGACCTCATGCATGTTGTGTATTCATAACAAAGAGATGAGACAATGAGTGCAGACGCGCATAGTACGATGATGAGGGCGTTCATGGGGAGCATGACACCAAAGGGTTCTATTGACCTCTAGACGTCGCTACAGATTAGCTTGACTAGAGAGGGTCCAGGGGGTGTGCAAGCCCCCTGGAGATTCACACTCGGATGTGTGGGTCGTGTGTAGGGAAGTACTACACATCCATATTAGTCTGAGACTGGAGGTCACCCTTAGAGAATAGAGATAGGTCCCAAGAGCATGATTGAATGTAGTTGACAATTGATATCACCTAGACGGTATGAAAATCCAAGGTCATTAATGTAATTTTGAACAGTATGTAGTTGACTTATATGAGGATCATGCTCAAGTAATAACTTAAATGATCTATAGTATATGTATAAGGTTAGATGTGTTGTCCTGGTAACATTATTATTACGACCCACTTTGTCATTATTATAAATTATTTGATCCAAATCATTCATGTGTAGACACATGAATGAGAGTATCCTATACAATGAGTTTGTATAAGACTACATCACTAAATATTTAATCTTTCTTTATAAATCTGTTAATTGAAAATGGCTCTGGTAGCCGATACAATATGTGACTCAATCTTAATAGCTATGAACTCTTGCCTGCAAGGGTTTGTTATTTGATTTGCATGGGTGAGAATGACTCTTGTAACCACGATTCAATATGTTTATCATTTCGAGAACTTGGTCAAATAGAGAGTTGGGAACATGATATCACGAGATGAAATTCATTCCTTTCATACAATAAAAGTAAATGATTTGTGCTTTCAAGTGCTGATTTCGAGACTTGAACAATAGGGCCCCACTCTCTCCGGCTTCAACATTGTCTTTGTCCCTTGCTCTAGGTTTCCCCTTCTACTTCTTGGGGTTAGACATATTCTCACTAGAGTCAAGGCAGCATCGTCGCTAAGCGACAATCCCTCTTCATGGGTTAAACATATTCTCGCCGAAGCCAAGGTAGCATCGCCGCTGAGCGGCAATCCCTCTGCAATTTTCGATGGCCAAGAAAGTGTTTCTCTATGCCTCCTCTGAACCAGGTTGTTGACATCTTCACGAAAAGTGTTTCTCAACCTCTTTGAATTTTTCAGATTCAAGCTTCACGTTCATTTTTCAGACACATCGTAGCATCATCTGCTCCAATCATTCCCTTGTTTCGATCAAATAAAACTATGAAACACATTGTAGTATCGTCTGCTCCAATCATTCCCTCGTTTCAGTCAAATAAAACTATCACACACATTGTAGCATCATCTACTCCAATCATTCCCTCATTTCGGTCAAATAAAACTATCATCCACATTGTACCATCATATGCTCCAATCATTCCCTCGTTTCATTCGAACAAAACTATCACACACATTGTACCATCATTTGCTCCAATCATTCCCTCGTTTCATTCGAATAAAACTATCATCAGACACATTATAGCATCATCTGCTCCAATCATTGCCTCATTTTGGTTGAATTAAGATACATTAAACCATCATCTGCTCGAATCATACCGTCGTTTTGATCAAATAAAACTATCAGACACATTATAACATCTTACGTAGAGTAATAATTCGCATAGATGGCATAGAGAAAGAAGAAGAGTGAGAAGGGGATGAGTGGGTGAGAAGTGTTAAAAAGGAAAGCGTGTGGGAAGTGGGTTTTAAGGTATAGTCGTGGTCAGTGCATGGGGAGCTCCAATTCCTAACTTACCCAAAATCACTAAAAGCGACACTTCCCACGACACACTCTGCATAAAGCTCTTCTCTTTTCTTTCTTCTTTTCACACACAAATCTCTTTCTTACTCCACCACTCGTGTGCCATTTAATATTATTGTCTTTATTTTTTTGTCTTATATATAACATTTCACGTTTACTACCGTTACATATTGTCTGTTTTGACTTTTTACGTATCGTCTTCAGTCTCACGATTATAAAACGCATATGTTAGGGAGAGATTTCAACGTTGTTATAAGCAATGTTTTATTCTTCTCTTTAACGAACGTGAGATCTCACATGTTAAAATTGTAAGAAAAGATTGAAATGAGTAGAACAAAATGGTTATCTCTTCAAATAAAGGATCAAAATGAAGAAAGTTGAAATTGAGACCAAAATGAACATGAATCCCGTCTCTCCCACTTGTTTATTCTAGATTGAAGAGAAGAAAAAAGAGGCATTTTTCTCGGCCTACGAATAACGTGACATTTTTCACAAATTTTCCAAATTGAGACCTTTATATGTCATACTTGTCTTCAAGTGATCGGGAAATCAAAAATCAAAAAGCTATTGATTTCTTTCCAACACTCTGGATACGTGACCGTATTGTGCAGAACACTCACAAAAGTCGTGATCTTCCAGGGGCGAAAAAAGAAAAGAGAGATGAAGTTCTCTCGTATGTGGTTTGAGGCTCTCGAGACAAGGAACACGTGACGTTTAAAAAATACGAGGACCAAAATAAACCTAAGAAAAAACTACAAAAGTGCATTTAAACCTTTTTTTTGCTTGCAATAATCGACTGTAACTTTCTTCATTTTTTGGGACAAAGAGATGCCTTTGTTCTGTCGTTGAGTACTTTGTCATTGTCTTGGTTTTGTCTAAGGAGGGTATGAGAGATTATTATGAATGATGCTTAAAGTTCATCATTTCATGAAATGTTAATTAATGGTGTTTCCATTTTTGTTGGTTTTTGCTAAAATGTAACATTTGCTATCATATCTAACTATTTTTGGATATAGGTTAAACTATAAATTTAGTCCGTACATTTATAAACTTGCATTCAAAACGGTATCTCTAAACCTTTTGTGATACCCGAGTGAATGAGAGGTACATGAATGAACCGAAATCACATTCGAATGAGAGCAATTCTAAAGATAGGATCACAAAAAAATGCTAAAAAATAAATTGAAAATCACTACCTATATTAATAAGTTACACGTTCTTTTCGGTAGCTCCAATCATAGAAACTTCATAGTTAAACGTGTTTTGCTTGGAGCAATTCTCTGTTGGATGACTTCTAGAAATTTTTTTTAAGATGAATATAAGTGAGAACAAAACATGCTGGAAGGACTAGAAATAAGTAACGTGACCATGTCGCTTGAGATACAGGAGAATGTCAGAGCCATCAGGTGCCGAATTCTCATACTTCTTATAGTGCGCTAAACTGTCCCACATTGCAACCGTCTCTCCCAATAGCTTTTCTTTGATTTGTTTTTAAGTTATATTAAAAGTTTTAATCTAATCATTTCCAAAGTTTATTATAGGGATCCGAACTTTAAAAATATCTAAAAAGCCTTTGAATTTACAAAATTGGCCCCGTAAATCATGGACGTATTGAACGTCTAATGAAACATTATACTTCCAATTTTATGTCGATATATCTGTTATTTTTATAAAAAAAAATATCGCATGTCAAGAACCGGTTAGATCTAAAATTAAAAACTAAGGATATATATGACAAAATTGAAAATTTAAGAAGGTTCTTACACTTGTTAAAGTTTAGGGATTTATTAGACAATTTTAAAGATTAAAAAACCGAATAGACATAAATTTGAACACAAGCTTGTAATTTTTCTTTCTAGGAGTTAATTTCCCGACCAATCATAGGAAAATTTTCAGACCCGACAAAAATCCAGTTGATCTAACTATTCATACTATTCATGATTAGGAAGTGAGCAAAGAGACATTAACCCTAAACTTTTAATTTTATGTCGAGTAGATCGGTGAACTTTTAAAAAATCGGATGTCAAAAACCTATTAGACTCAAAAATGAAAGTTCGAGGATTCATAGGACAAATTTGAAAAAGTTGAAGACCTATTAAACACTCGTTAAAGTTCATAGTTCTATTAGACACTTTTAAAGGTTCAAAGATCGAATAAACACAAATCATAAGAACATTTTCAGATCCAACGAAAACCCAGTTGATCTAACTATTCATCCCGACCAGAAACGAGCAAACAGACATTATACTCAATGTTTGAATGTTGATTTTGTAGTTACCTCGAAAGCGCTTTCAAACAAAGATCCTAAATACAAACATATATGCTTCATACGAGGTGTTCGAGTGGTTCGTGTTGTTCGAGTAATTTCTTTCTTACTAGAAGGAAATCGTATGAATAATGAAAGTAATAATCACCACGGAATTGTAGGCTCAGATGCTTACTTTTATCTTGAAATCTGTAACCTAGAAAAAGACATTCCACTGCTCACTTTCTTGTTCAGTCCCACAGCTCAAAACCCTAATTTTTTTTTCTTCCCAATAAGATTCTTCGAGAATAAAAATCTCCTCGTTTTATTCGTACTTTTTTTTCTTTTTTTTTTTTTAAATTTCTTCTTAATTCAATCCATCTTCCATTTTATTTCAATCCCAAAACAGAACAAAAAGATATGAAATTGAAAAATAAATAAATAAAGAGCTTCAAGAAATGTACATATATCTTACAAATTGATCAATCTGATGATCTCTTAGAGATCTTCTGTCCATTTTCGATGTGAGTTCGAGTCGAATCTGGACCGTGTCCAAGCCTGAGCTCTAGATCAAGTTCTTGGTTTCCATTTTCCATGGACGTCGAGAACTGTTGTTCAGATCGAGAGAAATTACTCTCTCCGAGCCCTCTGAGACGGTGGTCGTTCACTGGAAAACCCCGAGACATCGCCATGGAGGGCAAAAAGCTATTGAAGGAATGATTGGACACGGAGAAAAGAGAAGGGATATTGATCCCACCATTAACACTATTAGGGTTTGGGAATTGGTAGAGAAGGCACAAGCCTCCACCATTAAAATCAGGAGGTGGGATGATGAAAGAATTGGAAATCGAGGAAGATGACGAAGAGGGTTTCGTTGTATTCGACAGAGGAGCTTGATGGAGGCGAGCACGGTCGCGGCGGTGAACATTCATATGACCTCCTAGGGCTTGAGCTGATTTGAACTCTCGTCTACAATAAGTGCAAGTATATGACCTAGGAGGCCAAGTAGTTCCCATAACATTACGAGTGTCCTCGGCGAAAGCTCTGACTTCCCACGAGTCATCGTCATCGGCATCTGTAACGACGTCGGGAGTTTGCATAGGGTTTAAACCGTTAAGATTCCACCCGTCACGAACCGTTTCAGGCAAAGAAGGATCGTGTTGGAATCCAAGCTCAAGCTTAGTAGCCATGGAAAAAGATGAATTGATATTTGAATAGATAAAGAGGTATGATTGAGTTGAAAGTATAAAGGGGAATGGGTCTTCTCAAGTAAGAGGAAGGAGACAAAATGAAACCCTAAAATAGGTGATATCACCAAATTTTGACACTTAGCTCTCTTTTATAATAAAAACCAATTAAAAGAACATTGTAAATTTCATCTTGAAGCGAAAAAAACAAGAAAAAAACCAAACACCAAGAACAACCTTAATGTCTTGTCTTAACATAATAAGACTAAGATCTTGTTAAGCTAATTAACTTAGTTAGGCTGTTGGATTTGAAGTAATGGGTTTTAATTAGGTTTCTGGAGTTTAATGTAGACAAATACGATCCGACCAAGTTCATTATTGTTCATACTTAGAAACCATGACCCACGACCCTCCACAATGGTATAATATTGTCTACTTTGAGTCTAAGCTCTCGGGGTTTTACTTTTGGTTTCCTTGTACCAATGAAGATAGTATTCCTTACTTATAAACTCATGATCTTTCTTGGATTTTGATCTTTAGATTTAATTATAATCTAGAATATAATCTTCAACTTTGATTTATTTTTGTTTAGTTCAATGAGTTTGAGTTAAGGATGGAAAATGATCGTGATTTGTTTTTGTGTACGTTGATTTGGGTATCGACATGGATTGATAGAAAGTGATAATGACTCGTTTTCTTATTTTATGATATCTAGATAAAGAGTTGATAATACCGACATGAAGGGACCGAGCCTTTTTATTTTTTATTTTTTTTATGTGGTTCGAGTACGTTGAGAATGACAACTTAAAATTTCTAGTGCAAAATGAAATGGACAAACTCCATATCACTCCAAATGTTAGGTGAAAAAATTCTTTCATGCTTTTTTATTTTTATTTTTTAATATTTTTCACGACTATAATAAATAGAAACGTTGTAACTCTTGTGTTCATTAATTCATTAATAATGATCCCAAGCTAAAATTTAAAAAATATATTAAAATTTTCCACAACCAAAACATATATAGTATAATCTTATTATCCCCATAAAATTCTCGTGGCACAATGAAAAGAGCTTATTTTGTACTTAAACGTATATTTCTTCAATCATTATGGTGAACGTTGAAACGGGTCGATGCTAATCAGAGAGAGCGGGCATGATCCAAGGGAGAAAGAAGGTGAGGGAGACCGAGGGAGAGAGAGATGACACGATCGAGGGAGCTGATGCACGATGACTATTGACTTAGTCAACAAGTTCGACTTAGCTCAATCATATCTACGTCAAATAAAAACTCAAATCTCAAAACTTAACGAACACACCGTACAACAATCGAGAGTAAATAGATACTTATATATATATATATATATATATATAAAGTAATTTTATTATATATAAGTTCATCAATATGCTATGTCCCAAATAATGTAGATATTAATTTATTTCTTTATTGCATTGCAATGAGAACTGGTTTCAGAATGGGCTCCGGCCCAAATATAATGACTTTGCACGTTATGGGCCAAATCAAAGCCCGCTAACCGGCCCAATTAAAAACGTGTAATTTGTCTAAAAAATCCTCTACATTTTCAATAATTACGACACTACCCTTAGACTTTTAAAAAAATAAAAAAAATACTCTTACCCTTAATTTTGGACCGATTAATATTTTATTTAAAAAATAAATAAATAAATAAGTTTCATTAATACCCTCCAATTTTTTTTAATATATATATATTCTTATCATCAGTACTAATTTTGAAAAAAAATATAGATATAAAAAACGGGAAAATTTCTCTACTGAGAGTCCAATCTCCATAACTTCTCTGTTCCCATTCGGTACTACAAGTTGTTTTAGATTTTCGTTCAATATTTCAATACCAAATTCGAAACAAGAATGTGTCGGGATCCGAATCTGATAGATCTTAATATATGATTGTATGCTATGGAAGAACATTTTTTAATTGATAGACCAAAACTATAAATTAATATGAATAATCGACTTTGTATATCCCTAGATTATCTAGACCTTGACCTAAATAATAAATTATGAGCAATGACATGACTATGCTATCATTATTTAAATTTATCTTTGATAGGGGAGAGAATCTATGGGGGTAATGAGAGTGTGACTAGATTAGATTATATGAATATGGTTCATAAAAGCATATATTAAAAGGAATAATGATGATGTTATAAGTTGAATTGCTTTTATTTCATCACTTAGTTGGCTTTAAAAAACATTGGTTTATATTTATTATATTTTTTTGTCCATTTATGAATTCCCATATTCAAAGTTGATAAGAACAAAAATTAATATCATATAGTTTCTAATATTATATGCTTACATTGAATTGATAATTTTAAATAAAAGAGGCAACTTTCATGTGTATTAACGTGGAAATCCAAGAATAAGGGGACAAAATTCTTCAATTTTTTAATAAAACAATTTTTTACCAACGTAAAATCAACCCCGTAAATGGGACGATCACGAAATGAACCCTAGAATACGTTAGAGTGTTTGTGAGTTGGGTTAGGTTAAATTTCAACGGTTGAGACGGTGGATTTTTTCAACCTAAACAACTCTTATTAAATAATAAATTCAACCTAACCCAATCATAAATTTTTTTGGCTCGACTCCTTTCTTTGGAGCCCTCAAACAAAGTACACCCTTTGTTCGACACTTTAGTCACTTTTGACTACACCTTCGTGGCTCACAATGTTTTGTTCGATATTTGAGGATTCTATTGTCATGGCTAAGTTTAGAGCATGGCTCTCGAACAAAGTACACAATTTGTTCGATATTTGAGGATTCTATTGTCATGGCTAAGTTTAGAGCATGGCTCTCGAACAAAGTACACCCTTCGTTCGATATTTGAGGATTCTATTGTTATGGCTAAGTTTAGGGCATGACTCTTGAACAAAGTACACCCTTATTCGATATTTGAGGATTCTATTGTCATGGCTAAGTTTAGGACATGGCTTGATACCATGTTACGACACTTTAGTCACTTTTGACTACACCTTCGAGGCTTACATTTCTTTGTTCGATATTTGAGGATTCTATTGTCATGGTTAAGTTTAGGGCATGGCTCTGATACCATGTTATGACACTTTAGTCACTTTTGACTACACCTTCGAGGCTCACATTTATTTGTTCGATATTTGAGGATTCTATTGTCATGACTAAGTTTAGGAATCACGGATCTCTACAATTGTATGATATTGTCCACTTTGAACATAAGGTCATGGTTTTACTTTGAACTTCCCCAAAAAAACCTCATACCAATATAGATTAATAATAAATTCGAGTTGATTCACCCAATCTAATTTTACGAAAACTCATGAACAAAATTCATAAAATTTTCATTTATTTAAATTCAATCCAATTCAAATATGGGTTGAGTTGATCATATTTTTCAAATTATCAGATCATTTGAACATGTTCGAAGATCTCGAAATGATTTTCCGAGAGAGTTTTTAAAACTCTTTTTCTATCAATAATTGAATGAATTTGTTCTCGTATTTCGTTGATATACTTAATATATTTACGACGCCCATAGATTATAGAAACCCAACCTAAAGACCGAAGACGAAAGGGCAAAATAGACATTTACTAAAATATAAAGAGGAAAACAAAGATCTAATTTTTAAACATATAAACTAAAACAAATTTAGTACATATTGAGACACAATAATTACTAAAACAAATATAATTAAGCTTTGCTAAGTACATGATTAAACCAATGCTTAAACATTTGCTTACTTTCTCCATCATTATCATGATTAAACAGAGAAACAAAACACCATCCACAAAGTTGGCTGTCTTTTAATATTGATTATTGCTAACCTTTACAATTAAATATTCAATAATATCTAAATATTTTATTCCAACCGGCAATCGAGTAAGACATATGGAAGGATAAACATGTAAATTCCTCCACACGGGAACTTAAATTTTCATCCTAAATAGTCTCTATTCATCTTTGTTCAAGGCACGACATGTTTTACTCGACAATCATGTAAAACATCTGGAAGGATAAACAAGTAAATTCCTTCACACGAGGATTTAAGTTTTAGTCTCAAACAGTCTCTATGCATCTTTGTTCAAGGAAGGACATATTTTACTTCAATAGGCGATCAGATGAAATATGTGTAAGGGTAAAGGAGTAAATTACTTCACACGAGAACTTAACTTTTCGTCCCAAATATACTCTATCCATCTTCATTCAAGGTATATTTTACTCCAATAAGAGATCGATTGAAACATATGGAAGGATAAATGAGTAAATATCTTCAGACAAGAACTTAAATTTTCATCCCAAACAGTCTCTATTCATTTTTGTTAAAGGCCGAACACGATTTGCTCCAATAGGCAATCGGGTAAAACATATGGAAGGATAAATGTGTAAATTCCTTCACACGAGAACTTAAATTTTCGTCACAAACAGTCTCTATTTATCTTCGTTCAAAGTATGACATATTTTAGTATAATGGGCGATCAAGTTAAACATATGGAAGGATGAACGAGTAAATTTCTTCGCACGAGAACTTAAATTTCCATCACAAACAGTCTCTATTCATCTTTGTTCAAGGCAGGACATGTTTTACTCAAACAAGCAATCGGGTAAAACATATGGAAGGATAAACATGTAAATTCCTCCACACGGAAACTTAAATTTTCGTCACAAACAGTCTCGATATGACATATTTTAGTATAATGAGTGATCAAGTTAAACATATGGAAAGACAAACAAGTAAATTTCTTCACACGAAGACATAAGTTTTCGTCCCAAAGAGTCTCTGTTCATATTCATTCAACTCATAATGGTAATTAAAAGTTAGACAAAGTTTGGGCAAGCATGTGCATTGGATGAATGGTGGTAGGTGCTTGGGAACACTCAAAAGATTTATGTAGATTTGAGTTAGTCAAAGGAAAGACTAAATCATTAAAGACTCCGAAAGTTATGTTTTTTAAATGGTAAAACATAGGAAATTTCTTGGTTTGTCAA